ATATATTGCTATGTGTTTTATATTAGGTAATCGTTTATTTGTATTTTTATTTTATTTTATTTTTTATTTCTTGCCATTTGGAAACTCGTATATATATTTCTGTTTAATTTTTATTTCTTTCGCTCCAGTCACTAGCTGCGATCATTTATCGCACAGAATTTTTATTCTTCTACACACAGACACACCCTTAGATAAAATTGTCAAGCGTTTTGACGATAGTAGTAATATTTTTAGTTTTGCATCCACCTTTATAGGCGACATATAATAATAGTAATAATAACAACAACAACAACAATAATAATAATAATAATAATAATTATAATAATAATAATCATCATAATATAACAATAGTAGTAATAATAATATAATCAAGACAATAATGCAGATAATTTTTATTGAGAGAGCGACGATAGAATTATAGAAATAATAAAATAACTCGGTACAAGGTGTATGAACGATGTTTAAAGCATGAATTTTGTTCTTACGTCCATTCCTTGTATATTTTTGATATCGCTACATTGATTATTTACATTGAAATCTTTTATCTCGAGTATAGCAATCGAAGCAGAGCTTAATTTGTTCGTCCGCTTATTTAATTATTATTTTCTTTATATATATATTATATATATTATATGATAAACGAGTCGATCGTTCCCTTTTTTTTGCTATAGGCACGAACGATTTTCGGACCGATCGATTCGAGATTCGATTCGACAAAATACGTTTACGATGCTGAAATCGACTACATACATTCTCTTATTTCTCACTAAGTATACGCGGGAATAATAATAATAATAAATAAATAAATAATCAATAATCAATAATCAATAATCAATAATCAATAATAATAATAATAATAGTGATAGATGATGATAATAATAATAATAATAAATTTGGACATTAATTACTGTCGAATAATACATATATATTATTTCGAGAGATCTAAGAGATCATTCGCATCATTTTGATTCTAACATCATATTATTCTCACTCTCTCTCTCTCTCTCTCTCTCTCTCTCTCTCTCTCTCTCTCTCTCTCTCTCTCTCTCTCTTTCTCTCATATATGTGTCCTTATTATTTTATATATTTTTTCTGTTACTATAATAAATATCTTTTAGTTTTTTTTATTTTTTTTTCTTCCCGTCGTACATCGAGGAAAAGAGATTGATGCAGTACTAACTTAGCAGCCGGGATCGATCATACCGAGAATCGTCATCCAATACGACATTGAACGAGAAAACACGTTCTTCCCCGTTTATCCCAGTTCCCCACCCCATTCTACCACCCCAATCAATCCCCCTTTTACGCGGATGCCGTATTGAGAAGTCGACCAGCTAGATTCAGCTAGGATAATTAATTAGTTCATTAATTAGAGCGTATTTAGGCCTGTGGGCTACTTTTCCAGCAACTCGCTGTGAATCCCCATTGACAGAAGTAATTAAATCTCTCTCTCTCTCTCTCTCTCTCTCTTTCTCTCTTTTTTTCATTTTCTTTTTCTCTTTTATTTTCATCATCTCACATTCCGCGAGAAAGAGAGGGAGAGGGAGAGGGAGAAGGAGAGAGAGAAAGAGAGAGAGAGAGAGAGAGAGAAGAAAAGCAAGGGACAAAAGGAAGAAAATGAACAACGGAAAGGCAACGATTTTTTTCCGCCTCGCGAGAAAAAAAAAGTCGTTCACGCTTTTCTACCACCCCTCGTATATAATACCCACCACCCCAGCAGCACCTCACCGGCACCCCACCAGCACCACCCTTACCAGTACCACCATCAACCTTTTATCCGATCCTTTCCACCCACTTCCATCCACCCTTCTCCTCCTCTTCCTCCTCTTCCTCTTCTTCCTCCTCTTCGGAACAGCCGGCTTCCTCTGTACTGCGAACGACCAATGGGAAACGATAATCGATCGTTTCGCGATGCTTTCGCGCGTTTCGAATGATTCCTTCTTTGATCGTGCGCCGCGTTCTTCCTTTCTTCTTCTTTTTTTTTTGTTTTTTTTTTGTTTTTATTTTATTTTTTTGTAAGATTGACACGCGCGAACAACTGATTGAAATTTTCTGTCAATTACGAAGAGCAATATATAAAATAAGAAACGAAATAATATTAAATAAAATAGAAACATCGTTATAGAAGAGAAAGATTACAAAGGTGATTGAAATTTTTGCGTTAATTAGTTTTAAAAAAAAAATCATTATCGATCCGTAAGGAATTTTATTCTTTTCGATAATACTTATAAATGAAAGAAGGATTTAATTTTATTGGACGTCCCCAAATGTTTATATAATAAGTATGCACATACACATACACACACACACGTGTGTGTACATACGTACCCATTTTTTTCCTACAAGAAAGTTTTCTTTTAATATGGAAAAATGACAAAAATATTGAATAAGTTTTCGGTCCTTATCCAATTAATATTGATTGAATTCACAGAATGATGACCCTTAAAATTCACCTCTCGTGAGATAGAAAAGTACGTAACAGTTCTCTCGTTTTCGGAGAAAAGTGTTCTAACAACGTGATAGAAGAAAAGAAAAAGAGAAAGAAAAAGAGAATAAAAATAATAATAAAAAGAGAAACACGGGAAAGTGGATCGAGAACATCGAGTATCGTTTCCCTATCGCATTCGTTGCAAACCCTTAATCCTTTATATATTTCGTCCTTCGTTGCCGGAGGAACGGTTCGCGCGTGTATGATTATTGTACATTAAATTACATGTATAATAGAACCACAGTTAGTTTACGTGAGTTATATCTTCCTTCGCATTGGCGAGTTCATTTCTGACATTTTTCATTTTTCTTTTTTAATCTTTCGTGTATGTATGATATGTATATATATATATATATATATATATATATATATATATATATGTAATGTGTGTATGTACGCGTGTATAATTTTTTTCTACTTTATTTTTTTTCTCGACCTGACGATCATTTCTCTTGAGACGAATCCGGCGCCTTGCGGTTCACTTTTCCATCATTACCCTTAGAATATATATATGCGTGTGTGTGTGTATGTGTGTATAATATCGTTTAGAGTCTTTTGTACAGGCTTCCGACGCGACGAGAAGAAGAGTTTTTTTTTTTTTAGCGACATTCTACCTGTGCCAAGGGAAAAAGATATTCCATTCTTCTCCTTTCCTTTCCTTTCCTTTCCTTTCCTTTCCTTTTTCTCCCCCTTACTTTCTCATTTTTTTTTTTTTATTATTTCTCTTTGCCGTTCCTCCTGGCATTTATTTCTTACGTTCTCTCTTCTTCTTTCTTCTCTCCTCTTTTATATATATATATAATTACGCGATCCATTTGAAAGATTGATAACATGCAAAAAAACCCGGCTAGTTCTCAGTCGGATTAAAAAAAAAAAAAAGCTTTTACAATAAACCTTTGCGAGACTCTTCTAAATAATTATAAGATAAGAGATATAGAAAAGATTAATGTTTTTGTAAGAAATATGTAAGTGAAAGTATGTGAAATAAAAAGAGAGAGAGAGAGAGACAAACAAATAAAAATAAAGCAAAAGAGAAAGAGAGAAAATGTAAGTGACAAGTAAATAAGTAGTAGGAGACAATATTTTCAACCGACTACGATAGGCCGATAGTATAAGATGATCGGTTAAATTAACAAAAGAGATAGAAATAAAAAGAGTGGAACACGAGATGAGAGATGACGAGAAGAGGAACGAAAAGAAATGGAAGTCTTTTACAATCGAAAAAATGCAGTTATTAGATAGAGAAAAGAGAAAGATAGAGATATTAGATCATTAAGTATGAAACATTCGATTATTTCGAATACTTTCGGTTCAAAAATCAGACATTTCATACTTAATAATCTAATATATAGGAGTAAGAGGGAGAGGAGATGGGGGTAAAGGGGTACGACACACGGATGCTGCGGACTACGCTAATATATATTCCAAAAAGAGAAAGAGAAAGAGAAAGAGAGAGAGAGAGAGAGAGAGAGAAAGATAGAGTACATCGAGATGGCCCAAGGATATGAAATAAAAATCAATAAGAGAGGAGAACGAGACTTCCTGGAAATGTTCCAACCCTGACGCCATTCTTCGACTTCCTCGAGTTTAGGTTGCGAGGCTTGAGAGGGTGACGGGAGAAAGCTTTCTTACACGACCTTTATAACTACCACCACCACCACCATACCACCATTCCCACCACCTACCCAATACTACTCTCTTTTAACAGGGGGGTTACGATAGACGAAGTTTTTTCCACCAATCGCGATAAGTGCATCGGCATTTCGAGTTTATTTGCTTCGGCCAGGACAGAAATTCATTCTTTCGGGTGTATCCTTCTTCGGATAGGACTCCGAAGGATACATTCTTTTTTTCAGAATCTTATTAGATTAATCTTCGACACGATTGGTATATAATTATTGAAATTATTAAATCATTGACAGACTAAAACAAGCATTTATATTTTTATAATTAATCCTAAGATTTTACTATCGTACAAATTCGATTTCAAATGAATCTTTAAAAGGTCATCTTTACTTTTTCCTATCTTTTCTCTCTATCTCTCTTTTCTTTTCTCTCTAACTCTTCGTCTTGATTATTTCTTAATTCTAATC